TCATTTATAAATAAGTTGAACAGGATGGGTCCCAGGACAGACCCTTGGGGGACCCCACTAGTATCCTCTCTACACTCAGAAAACTTATTCCTACCCTTTGTTTCCTGTCTTTTAATCCACAAAAGGACCTGCCCTCTTATCTCATGACAACTTACTTTAAGAGCCTTTGGTGAGGGACCTTGTCAAAGGCTTTCTGGAAATCTAAGTATACTATATCCACTGGGTCCTCCTTGTCTACCTCAAAGAGCTCTAGCAGATTAGGAAGGCATGATTTCTCTTTACGGAAACCATGTTGACTTTCCCCCCAAGAAATTATATTCATCCATGTGTGACAATTTTATTCTTCACTATAGTTTCAACTAATTTGTCCAGTACTGACATTAGACTTACCAGTCTGTAATTGCCAGGATCACCTCTAGAGCCCTTTTTAAATATTGATGTCACGTTAGCTATCTTCCAATCATTAGGTACAGAAGCCAATTTAAAGGATAGTTTACAAACCACAGTTAACAGTTCCACAATTTCCCATTTGAGTTCTTTCAGAACTCTTGGGTGAATGCCATCTGGTCCCAGTGACTTGTTACTGTGAAATGTATCAATTTGTTCCAAAACCTCCTCTAATGACTCCTTAATCTGGGACAATTCCTCAGATTTGTCTCCTAAAAAGAATGGCTCAGGTTTGGGAATCTGTCCAATATCGTCAGCCGTGAAGACTGAAGCAAAGAATTCATTCAGCTTCTCTGCTATGACTATCATCTCTGAGTGATTCTTTAGCATCTCCATTGTCCAACTGCCCCACTGGTTCTTTAGCTGGCTTCCTGCTTTTGAACATTCTTAAACATTCTATTATTACTTTTTGAGTTTCTGGATAGCTGTTCTTCAAACTCCTTTTGGGCTTTTCTTACATTTTTACAATTAATTTGACAAAAGTCTATGGTCCTTTCTATTTTCCTCACTAGGATTTGACTTCCACTTTTTTAAAAGATAAAATTTTAAGTGAGACAGAAAGATTCAAGGTCTATTATAACTGGAATCAAATTATTTTTTACTTGTTTAAGCAATATTTGTTTTATTCTTTTAGCGGTAAAAATTGTGTCTGAATTCTTTTTATATACATGCAATATATTAATTGACCATTCCAGTTATTTTGGGAGAATGTGTCCCTCTTGCAGTACCTAAAGTTTTTGCAGTTGGAAGCAGGATAAAAATGCAGAAGCAAGTGGGAGTCAGTATTGCAGGGCAGGAAAGGAGTGTAATTAAAAAAATACTCCCAATGAAGGGCCCTAATCTAGGACCCCTGTACTTCACTGGGTTAAATAGAGCAGAGAGGTCATTTTCAGTGTAACATCATCTCTTCATATTGCACCCAACTGTTTAGCTGCTAAAAACTATACTGTGTACTCTTAAGATTTAAGTAGTATCTTCTTTCCCATAACAATCAAATTGAACTTCCCTGGACTCTGCAGAAATACCATTTCAAGTTTTGAGGCAAGACTAGACAAAATAAATCACCTATAAAAGAACTATTGACTGATGAAAGCAAATCATAAGGAATAAGTAAGCAGATGTGCTTAATGTTGGTCTCCTGGCTAGGAAAACACAACATGAACAAGCAGTGGAGATGAAAATCCAAATTTTTGAATTCTTCTGAAAACTATCATCAAGAAGAGACTTCCTAGTGAAACTGAATCTATGCTAAAGTTTTTCTAGAGAAATGGAAGAACATATCCCCCTGCCTCATGAACATTTACAAGGAAGTTTACCTTAGAGACTGGAAGAAAGTAGCAGTCCGGGATTGGAAACTGGAAAAAGAGGAGGTATACTGCATGACCTACAAGTCTTTTTTCTCTAACATTTGTTTCTTAAACAAGATTAGCATGAAGGACATCGGGTTATCCAAATAGTAATACTTGCCTTCGTAAGGCAGAAAATAGTTAAAACTTAAATGAAAATGGAAAATGTCTGTTTAAAAGAAATTTTAAAGCCTTAAAAACAGTCTTACATTAAGGAAAAGAAGAAACTAAGAATAGTTTATATTTTTTAAACTGGAGGTCAAGCATAGATGGCACACATCCTCAACTAGAAGTATTTCAGTGTCACAACATATTCATCCTGGCCTCAGTGCTCTAGATCCTTTTGCTTGGCAAGCAAGCCAAGGATTGAAACTTCTGTTTATGCCCTGACATGTCAGGTGTCATGGTCTAAAACAAAGAAATGACTATTCAACAAAAGCACTTGACTTCTAACTTTGTTCTACATGGGGATCACAACTACCTAAAATGACACACACAAAAAAAGACAGGGAGGTGCTCATATTGCTCCCCCCTTTACTATTCTGAACTGCTATTGAGTACATGAAGCACCTCGGAATTTACAAGCAAAGCAATACAACTGTTCAAAACTGTCCTTTCCACTATAGGTCACTAGATGTTATAGAACTTGGCAGCTCATTTGGGTTTTTATTATGAATGGTCTTTTTTTTTTTTTAAACTGTCAATGTTTCATTCGCTTTAAAATCCAAGTAACACAGAACAAAGCCTTCTAGAAAATGTTTTACATGGAACACTTTCAAATAAGTTCCATGTAGCTCAACAGCAGCATTGGCTGTTATATTACGTGGTTGATGCCTTAACTACATTTAAAAGAAACATTTATGAAACATTTTAAAATAAAATAATTGTTGAGAAATCAAAAGTGTAGTGAACATTCCAGACCATATTCCACCCCCTCCCACACACTGCTTCTTTTTGATAATTGTTACCTGACTGTTGGTGGTGAAACATCAGGCTCTAAGTTAAAATAGTACAGACTACACCAAAGAACTAAAATAAGCATCATACAAAGAGGAATTTTAACTGAATTACTAAGTGATCCAACTTTATAACTAAAGTAGCAAGATGAAGCAGCAGAGGCAACTCCTTTTACAGTCATGTATACTAGGAAAGAAGCAACAGGCCAATACAAGGGTCATTCTTACACTAAAAGCCTCCTCTGTTGTGTAAATCAACAGTTGGGAGGCAGTTTCCTGTACAAGAAGGGCTTCCCCAGATGCATAGTGCACTTCAAAACCACACTGTCGTTGGGGAATTTCGAGTCCTCATTATAATGCAAGCTAATGAGCTGAAAATCCTCATCCAAAGCAACTTAAAAGAATGCAATGAATCAAGACATTTTTTCAGAAGTTCTGTAGGAAGTGTGCTGACAGTCTAAGAAAGTGGATTCAGTATGTTATTAACAGCAGTTCCATCTATATTATCTAACAAGACACAAGTGTGAAACTTTGCAGTCCAGATGCAAAGCAAGAAGTCTTATCAGTTTTATGATCAACAAAGCAGGTATTTAAATCCTGGGTTCCACGACAACTCTACATTCAAGACCCAACCTGCTCTATGATACAGATTATATAAGTACAAATTGTTCCTTCTTTCAAGGATTTTTCTGCTCTATGATTAAGTTTGAGATTCAATTATAAGGATTTTTTTCCTTCAGAAAGGGCAAGGTATATATATAAGATCCAAAAGAATCATCAGAAAGACATGCATCAAACAACTTAACGAGGTAAGAAAACTGATTCATTTAAATGACACTTGTTCATACTACAGCCATGAAAAATGTTTGTAATCATAGTCATACTAAGGCCTAAATCATTGTGACCGGTTCTTCTCGTCTCTTACGTCGCCTTATTTTCATCCTAAGTGAACATTAAATACTACTACTGGTACAAGTGAATATTTCTGATTTGACAGCATTTCACACCCTTTTCACTTTTACAAGTTATTATACAGGACATTAAAAAAAAACGAAGAATCAGGCCCTCTTCTATATGGATTTGAATAATGCATTCCACAACTTCAGTGCTGGCTGCATAAGACAAAAGGTAGTTATTGAAAGAAGGAAAGAAAGCACTAAGCATCTCACTAATACTTTCAATGTGCCAGATTTTATCCCAGTAGAATTCATTTCCAAATCCCAAAGGCAAAATTAAAGACAAATTTATGATTACTACTTTTGGCTGTGCCTTGAATTAAAGATTCGTAAATGGGTCCTTGTAAATATTTCTCCCACCCATTTCATCTTACGTAAAAATTAGATTATGTATGTGTATAACTGGAAAGGCGACTGATTAATGCCAAGAGGCTTCTTGAAAAGACCTCAGTTTAACAGTTTTTATGGAATTTAGGATACAGTTTACAACCTTTATTTCAATGAAGACTGTGGGTTACTTTTTAAATAGTTGTTCTGCTACACTACATTTCCCTGCTCCTTAGCTACATTATACCGAGCATTCTCAAGACCTCAAAACAAGTTAAATAATACTTTATTTAACAGTACAGCATCACACCCAATAATACTAGTGAGAAGAGAGGAGGTTACTCTTTTGAAGACTGAACTATTTTTAAATGGGTAGAGTGGGATCAGAGTATCAGTCACGATTAGCTCACATCTATCAGGAAAAGTGGCAAATCATCAGCTGCCAGTCGAGCACAGCTTCATTTAGCTCTTTGCAAGGATGGTGTAGTATTATTGGATGTTACTATTTTGAAAAGCAGAAAGCTTCTAGTTAGTCAGAACCATCTCTACCGATCAACAAGAACCATGGTAAACAGTGGTATCGCCCATCTCCCTTCTTGTTCACTTCCAAAAAAATATGACAGTCACAGAACAAGCACTACCCCGGGTTGCTCTTACAGAGACAACTATAGGTCAATAAGCCAGAACCATAAATAGCCCGGCTACATGGAGCACAGTTCAAAGCTGCTAAAACATCTGTGATTTTTCTAAATAGAAACTACTCCTGTCCCTCCCCGTCGCTAGGCTTCTGCCTGCGGTGTCAGGACCGGACGAGGGCAGTCAGGGCAGGAATAGCCAAGCGAGGAGTTTTCCCCCCTGCCAGTAAGGGCTGGGGGGCTCTCTCCCCTAGACCAGCCCAGAGGAGGAAGTAGCTCTGCCAGTTGGGCACCGTCTCACCCACCCCGCCTCGCGAACCAGCTGCTCCTTACCGCGATCAAGGTGCTGCTGCGGCCGTGCTGCTCGGTGCTCGCGGCGTCGGCGTCCAGGCCGTTGGCTCCAGCCCGGTCGGCGCT